TCTAAAATGTTAGGTTCAATGACAAATGTTTAGGATTGATCGTAAAAAACTATAAAATTATAAATGATCCTAAAAAATAATACAAAAAAATTTATGAAATTATATATGATGGTATTGTTTATATCTATATAATAAAACAACTAGGTGTTTGAAATTTTATCCTTTGTTATCCAAAATCATCTCATCACCCATTTCTATCACATGTATAATTATTTAATATTTGATTAATATGTAGTTTAATATAATTTTTATTTCAGATATTATTCATATATGATAGTATACACATGTTGAAAAAATTTGTTAGATTATATATTTTTGTCGATATTTTTTTAAAAATAATGGGTAAAAAAAATTTAAATGATGCAAAAATGAAGAAAAAAAATTATTATTTAATATAATAAAATCGATTTTTTGGATGCTCAAATTTTATGTTTAATGGTATATTTAAATACGGATTATAACTAATATATATATAAAGCTAAGAAATTGTGGACCAGTTACTTAAGGACAAATGTTTCTTATTCTGGTCATGGCCTCGACTATACTGTGGTTGACCCACCTGGGTGCTAATGCACATGGCATTGGTGCCTTCACATGAGACCAAGGATTCATCAACCATCGACTCAAACGTCGACCATCCCACATTTTAGTGGGTCTCCGAGGATTGGACTTGACTACGGTGCCAATAAAAAACGTTTGGCATCATAACTTTAAAATTTATTAATAGTTGCGTCAATTAAAGTTAGGTTAATGAAATTATTGAAAAAATTAAAGTAAGATTAATGAAATTATTGAAAAAATGAAAATGAAAAAACTTACTTGAATAAATGTTGATATTCTCTCAAAATCATCGCAAACCTCAAAACTTAACATGATATTCTTTGTTATCTCCATTGGTTATGTCCGGTATTTCAAAAAATATTGGTTATATATCGATTTCATTTTCGAGTCTGAACACTTTGTACCTTAACAATAACAATTACTAGTGTACATTTGACAATTTAAGTATAAAAAAAATACCAATTTTTCGAGAAATGTAGTTTCAAGTCTTGGTTGTTAAGTTGATGTGTCAAACCGATCATATGCTTAGTCATTTTAACAAGCATCCTTAGAATCCACATCCGTTTCATCATTTATTAACAAGAATTCCTAAAGTGCTAATTCTATACATGCATTTTAAGTAGATAAAAATTATAAAACTGAACCATTCATTTCACAAAATATGATCATTTGATACACATCATAGGTTCAATTCGTCAACCAAAAAGGAGACCCAGCACAAAAATTCCAAATATCCACAACCAACTTCCATAGAATAAACAATCATCCACAACAAACTATAAAGAAAAAGTCCACCATACATGAAGAAACAAACACACAAAACCCAAATCAAGAACATAAATACATCTATCAATCTCCTCTTCCTCCTCCAAGTCCACCAGATCCACCAGGTCCATCCCTCATAAGTCTAAGAATCTCATCCTGCTTAACTTCAATGTTAAGAACAATGTCTCGTAAAGAGCGTTGGGTGTTGGTGCTGGGGCCTGTCTCTTGGGACTGTTCTCGTAAAGAGTGCTGGGAGCACCGTTGCACGTAAAATATTTTTGTTTGTAATACTAATTTATATTTTAATTTTTTGGGCGCATAAGGGAGACAAATCATAATGGTTATTAACAAAATAGTAAAGGTTATAATGGTCACTAATTCCAGTAAAAACCTAAAGCCTTTTGAAGTATCCCACTTTAATGTGTGGAAGCAAACAATTTAAAAAAGACTTAAAATTGTAACTAAACAATAGCCAAAAATAAAAAAGGGTGTTGACCAAATCTTTTGTAAACATTGTCCGGTAACTTCAACCTTGACATGTTGCAATTTTGCTTTCTTCTCGTAACCTAAAAATGTAAAGTTATTGAAAATAATTTGCACAACATCTTTATCGTTACAATACATCTTCGTGACCAAGTCTTCAGGCATCCGATCACTTAGAAATGCGATTTTACCCAAATTATCACAGAAGTTATTTGCTATGCAGCTGTATACTCAAAAGTTGACACCATTTGAAGCAAAGAAATAAGCACATATGGAATATAGTGTCATAAACTTCTCCAACTAACTATGAAGGTTTTCAAGGTCACTTAACTGATATCCATCAGCCTCACCAAATGCTCCCTCAGGCCACCACGAAATATGACAGACGACTTAACCTCTAAATAAAACAAATAAATGTTCTACACAATCCCCAAACCTTGCAAATTTTATGATTTTATTAAAATCTCATTATCAATATTTCAAAGCAATATTGTATCAGACATGATAAGTGTACACATCGCATCAAACTATTGTTACCTGGAATGCAAATTGCTCCAACATGTGGGATAGCAATGGGTGCAATAGGAATGATGACCACTACTAAATAATGATAAGATGATATGAACACAGGAAAGTGAACAACTTGGTGAAGATTACTTTGGAGAAGCTTTTTTGTCCATATTTTAGAGAAGTAGAGGAGGTACTAGTTACATAACATGACGCATATCCTTCTGGTGGCAATGAGAACCACGTCCTACCAAACAAGAACTATTTGATATGATGTTCTGTTTGAAGCCACACAACGAAAAAAGATAACAAAACTAAATAATCAAAGGAAAAGCTTACACAGTATTCAAGTCATCCTAGTTCATTTCTTGTAGTCTCTGTGAAGCAATAGTAGAGAAAGAAAATAGAATATTGTGAATCAACAGTAGAGAAAGAAAATAGAATATTGTGTTTTGTTTCTGAAATACGTGTAGGTGTCTGCAAATGACCATCTTGATGAGGTGTTTGTAAATTTGCATTACAACTAAATTTAAAGACATGTTCTAAGGGTGTCCATGGGCTGAGTTACTCACGAATCTTGTTATTCAGCCCGAAAAATTTGGTCCAACGTTCGATATGCCCGATAGTTGACCCGTCTGAACCCAATATCCTAAAAAAGAGGACTTAAGTTTGCCCCCAAATCCATTACCAGGCCTAAAGTCCGGCCCAAGAGCCCAGCTCACCAACCATTCCTTTGAAAAAAAAAATACTTTTAGACCATTAAATTTAAAACTTTGAAATAAGGCTCCCAATATCAAAATTTAAAGTTTTAAAAATTTAGATATTATAAATAATATTTTCTTTTCTTTTCCATATATTAAACATATAAGTTTTAAATTGTAAAGTAATACAAATGATAGATAAGTTAGTATGTGTCAACCGAACTGAGATTTATTTATTCTATTAAATGTAGTTCGTTATTTTATTTTTATTCATTTTAACTTTACTTTTAATTCAAAAATATAATTTACACAAATATTAAGTTATAAAAATATTCATTATTTTTAAATAAAGATATATATAAAAAAAAACGGTAAACAGGCTCCCCTAGCAAGTCAGCCCAATAGGTTCACGGGTTGGATTGCAGGTAGTTTACCCCTATCCGAAGCCTGACCCGACTTGCCCGATAATTCACTTGGGTAAGGGTTTGGGCCTACACTACCCAGGCCCGTCTCGAAAAAAATTTCGCTGGCCTAGCCGACCCCGCCCATGGACACCCCTAGATGATATTCTTAATCAGTTAAGAAATTCAATAAGCCTATAAAATTAAAACTTATAAAAATAAATTTAAAGCGCACTTTACTTTCCAAAAATAATTTAATGGCACTAACTTTTGGGTTGTTATATTTAAAATCAATAAGTAATTCAGGTAGACTTTGTAAAAAAATTACTATCACTTACTGAGAGGGCCAAAAGACTCTCAAAGTTCAAGGTTACAATTGAATTTACATTAAAAATTAGGGTTAAAATAGAAAAATAAAAGTTTTACATGTTAAGTAACATTTTATAGTAGTATAGATAGATATCGATAGATAGATATAAATACAGATATAAATCGATTACATATAATTTAATAATGCTATTAACTCCAAAAAAATATAATAGATAATAACTGTTTTATTGAGGTTATTTTTGTCAAACAAAAATTTTTCACTTTAAGGTACTCCCTCCGTTCGCAAATATCTGTCGTTTTATATAATTTTTTTTGTTCCATAATATCTATCGTTTAATGAAATCAAAATATAATTAATATTTTTTCTTTCAAATTTACCCTTAACTTTGCAATGCATTAGATTAGGTAGAGGTTAAGTGACTTTCATATTCCTTTCCTTCCCAATACGTATTGAATAAGAATATTTTAGTTTTGTACAATTATATTTTACTCATATTAGAGCTATTTAATAACTTTCTTAATCCCTGTGCAAAAATCTTAAACGACCGATATTTAGGAATGAAGAGAGTACTTTAGAATATATAGATATATATATATATATATAGATATATATATATATATAATGGATATTTTTATTATTTTTGTATATTATTTTATAACAAAAAAAATTATTATTTTTGTAAGTATTTTTACCACTTTTATTTAATACAAAAAAAATTAATATTTTTGTAAATAAATTTATCACATTTATGAGTGTTTTTATCATTATTGTGATAATTATTTTTACCAGTATTTTGATACTACAATAATGATAAAAACACCTACAACAGTGATAAAAATATGTACAAATGTAATTAATAAAAGTATGGTATCAAAATTATTTATTTTGGTACCACAGACAACTCCCCGTGGTTTTAACATCTTAAAAGATAACCCTTAAATAAATTTCCATCTCATACCGAACAGTAGGAAAACACTAGAGCACCACTTTCACATTTTTCGATACCAAAAAATGTAAAAAGAACCACCAAAAAGTGTAAAATTTTTTCTTTAACTAGTGATAAATTTCACCCAAACTTAAAAGATGAGTACATCCCAAAAGTTGATAACCTCTACCTAAGACTTCCCACCAAAGCAGAACCATCGTTTAGAAAGGCAACCCTCAACCACGTTAATGTCAATCAGGAGAAGACACAAAACAATGGAAGAGGAAAATTGAAGACGAGCAAGACAACCTGCAACCATATATTTAAAAAAAAAAAAAACTAACTTGAAAAATTGATACAAGAAACCTCCGCCATGAGTGTTTACAACCGGGACTCATTTAGGATTCTCGGTTTTTATAACAACACATATAAACTGCTAAATTAATCAGAAAATCAGAAAGAAAGAGCAAAACACTATGAGGCTGCCTCTGAAAGATAACATGTAAAAAGTGATACTGCATCCTGCAAATGGTATGCGCGCAGATCTTCTGTGATTGGTGCACCAAATATGGTGTCGAAGCAGCTTAACTGACTATCACGTGTTGAACCCTCACCGTTATCAGATACAAGTAAATGGCAAATCTCCTCTGCCATCTTTGAATATGCCACTCTGTAATAAGAATTTGTTAAACAGCTTAGTTATTTCAATGCCAATGGAGGCAAACCACAAACTAAATTAGAGAGACATCAATGTCACAGAAAACTATTAGGAGTGGCTCAAATTGCGAGCATAGGACTAATTTTACAGCACTTGGTAAATGGAACTAAGTATTTGAAGCTAATCCACATACTAGAATATTAAGGGTCATAACAGTAATGGTCCAGTGAAACCTTTGAAGATGCAGTCCACTTTTCTCGTACACCCCCACCCCTAGGGGTGGAATGGAGATTAGAAAAACAAACAGAAAAAAAAAAAAAAAAAAAATAGATGCCATTAAAAGAAAAGAAAGAGGGCAATATCAAAGTACAATTGATAAGAGTACAATGCAAAGGAAGATCTCAAAGTGCCTCAAATGATGAGGTAATATGAGATCAGGCTGTAAACAACTGTGTTCCCATGCCAGATGTGCACAGACATATCCATAAAAACATTAACAAAAACAAAAAATTCCATGCATCGTTCTTGTAATAAAGCAAGAGAGATCTAGAGATTTTCTTCCAGATCCACACTGTAAGAAGTCTAAATCGAGTTGATGTTGTGTCAGGTGCACAATGGGATTGTGAGGAAACCATTGTAATCTCTTCAGAAGAGTGGAGGATATGGAGAGAGCAATACAAGTTGTACAATTCAACAACCATATGAACGTATTTCATGGTAATTACCACAGCTTGGTAAAAGAAAATAATAGATCATGAAAACATCTATGAATTTTCAAGGAGACAGAGATATCTTATTTAAGCTGTAAACATGCATGTGTTTATGTTTTCTTAACCTAAGAAAAAAAAATAAATATTAACACCTTGCATCAACTGGTAATCTGCCACCCCAAATTGCTAAGGATTCATTTAAACGACCAATGAAGTCTCTGCAACCATCATTTTTGTTTTCAAGGGTATCCTGCCAGAGGTAAGATAGGATTATCAGCCTTCACTAGAAAATACTAATGAATAGCAAGTTCCTAGCAGGACAAATTCAGTTCAGTTAAGAACTACACTTTGAATTCCACCTGTTGTTTGCCAAGGATATCATAAAAATTTATTCTTGGATGCCAAGAGAAATAACATCTCGTAGTTCAAGCACATTATGATTTACAAATGCTCAAAATCAACCTCACAAATTCTACTCCATGAAAACTTTAGGCTTTAAAAAAATTTCCCTGCTAATCAATGTTCACTTGATTGATCAAGAACTGCTCAGAAAACTGGAGCCAGCAATGTCGATCTGAAGACAAAAATCCTATTTCCTTTCTACAGGCTCTTGTTTACGACTATTAATGAGTATGTTTACCCATTCCCTTTCAGCTGATGTTAATGCTGCTACACAAAGTTTGGAGGGGTACAAAATGAAACAGCAGCCGATCCAATATGGATGTGAATAAACCAAAATTGAGAAGTTATTGGTTGATTGCGCCTAGAAGTATGCATGCATTATATTTTTATTCAGTCTCCAGCTCCAGTCAGGTACATGCTCAATTACAGCACTTTGTAACAATAACCTCAACAAAGCTTCTCTGAGACCAATTTTATTTTACTGCTACTGTAAATGAAAAGTGCCAGCTAGCAAAATAGCCCACTATTTATGACTACAACTACGACATATTTAGAAGGATTTTCGTACCAGCTCACTCATTGTATTGTTATCTTCCTGCAAGGAACTTCTTAATAGATAAAAAGAAATATAAATGCCAGCTCCCAAATCCCAGTCTTCAATTTCTGACTTGTGGTCTTCCATGGAAGTTGCAAGCCTCCATATCTCGGAGTGTTTGGCTGCATGACGAGGAGGTTGATAAAATCAGTATTGTCCTAACCCGTTTCCAATAAATATACGATTTAAGGTAAACTAACTGCTAATCCAGAATACATTACAGCAATCACACAGTTTTTAACTTGCAGATGTCTATATAGGCCCACAAAATTTTAGGCATTAGTTTCATATTGTGAGATTTATAGAATAACAAATAGGTATCAGTGCAGTCCCAAGACCAGCACAACAAGAAGGCAATGGAAATATATGTGGCACAAAAAATATATGGTAGCTTTTACCTGACAAAAACAACGAATGAGCAACTGAAATAATGAAAATTGAATGTGCTTTTTGCCAATTTGCACATTCAATAAAGTGTTCAAGAGCCTTCAACATATTGCCATGGTAATTAAAATATACTGCCTGCAATTACACAGAACACAATGTCCTCAGTCAATAAAAAGATGTTTAATTAAAAAAGGAAAGAGCTCTACTTTAGTATCAATGACGGTAATAATTGGAAGCAGACAACAGTTGATCAAGATGTCCAGAAAAAGCCCCAGTTTACGGTGACACACAGTTCCAAATGGAACTAATTAAGAAGTGACCAAAAGGTTGGTGCAGTGAATGTCAACAGCCCCCAGCTTTGCAAATCAAATTAACATGAACAAGCAAAGATACACCAAACGGCGGCAAAACGGAAGGATTGATCCATGTAGAATTATGATGAGAGAAAAACCGACTCACCAGAGCCTCATGCAGCCATTCTGAAGGAATGCCCAAGTCTCCTATAAATTTACGCTGCAGTTCTTGAGCACTCCAAACTTCACAGTATTGAAACAAGATTTCCCTGATAAGATTAGTGTGCAGATAAGGATAATCGTCACGGTGGGGCATGTGAAGCACCACATAGATGGCCCAATGGCATTGCCCTAGACAAAGCAACTGCGAAATATACCCCAAGTCAAGAACATGAAGATCATTAGAGCTGAAAGCACCAACTGCTTCCAACACTGCACGCTGATGCCAAATCATATGGTAGTCAAGTGCATCAGGCGTTGAGGAAAGTGTACTGAACATGGTCTTCAAAGCACCAAATTTGTTTCCTTCACTGGCATGAAGAAGCATAAGATAATATGCAAGGTCAAAGCGTTCATCTGCATTCCAATTTACAGCCTCTTCTACCGGTCCTTCGTCAATGTAAACAGCAACTGGATATGGAGCCCTTCCATGATCAAGAAGCTGCTGATAAGTGCGAAAAATAATCGTCAATGAAGTGTCAGGTGGCAGCTGATACCACATCAACAATCCTAAGAACCTTTTCCAGTCGACATTTATGTCATGCAAAGCACCACGAATGTTACCAGCAAGCAACTCCAAAATTCTTATCCTGTCATCCTCAATAAAATTGAAGTCCATCCCATTGATTCTCCAAAGATCAAGCTGCCGAGCAACATCAGAACGATTCACTGGGGATCCACCAGCCTGGCTCAATAGACAAGCCAGTCTCACATCTCCTCTAGAAGCAGCCAGCTCCACAGCTGCATCCAGCTGTCGTCCTGTTAGGTATAAGAATATGTGTTTTAAATCACTTGATTCATTCAATGAGCTAACTTCATGTTGTACCCGGTGACAAACACACTCTTGTAACCAATAACTGAACTCTGCTCTCCGAATTAACGGAAGTGCTTCCTGGTCAACGTCCGGAGCACTTTCCCTCATATCTGGCATCATGTCTTCCTCATTGTCAGCTTCCACTGACTTTAATTGTCCACTAATTTCCCTTACGGAGAACAGAACTTTTAGTAGTTCCCAGACCATTACTTGGTGCATCAATATGATACGAGAAGAAGAGGATAACCCAGGAACCTCCAGTTGCCTCTCAACAATTCTTATATAGCTCCGACATATCTCTGAAAGCATTACACGATCACAAACAAGGGTTTGCAGCTTTAGTTTGAAAGAACCCACTCCAACTTCTTTTGTTTCATGATTTATTTCCTTGTGAAGATTTAAAGGGGAATCAAAACAAAATTCTGTAAGTTCCTCTCTGACTTTGTTATTTTCATCTCTGACCACTTTGTCAATTGCAACCTTTTCTAAAGTGATCACGGAAGATAACACCCTCTGAGAGTCATTGCTACCAACAGGTGCACCAGTGTGAACAAGGACACCATTAGGACCCCACCCTACACGGAAGGACCTACCCATGAATAACGCTGCATCAACTATGTTGCAGGAATGGCTCCCAGTTACTGGTGTTTCCTGCTTGAGGTCCAGCTTAAAACCTTCTACTTTTCTCATCTTTGAAGGCAAGCCCCTACTTTGTTGGGTCATCAAAATGGATCCAGGAGAGCTTGAGCCAAAATTACCAGGGTTGTACTCGAGCAAAGCTAATGGGGTCTTTCGAGTCACTGGTGGACTAATTCTATGAACTGTCATCCGGGAGATATGTTGCAGTGGGGATCTTGACGATTCTTTTCTATAAGGTAGTCTCTGTTGTGAAAGCATGCCATTGAAGTTCTCAGCCTCCTCTTCATCTGCAGGAAACATCAACATTCTCATTTCATTCATCTTGACAGGATCAAGCCCAAGATGAGCAGGAAGAGAATGAGAAAGCAGAATTGGATCCACTATGGCATTTTCTTCATCAATCTCGGAAACATTACTGCCATTCATCTCCACAGTGTTTTGAACTTCTGGAGCCACATCATCCATTGCAATATCTTCTTCATCATCTTCGCTCAAACCAAATCTGCTAAAATGGTGAACTAAGAATTTCCATTCACCATTTGATGGGTCAAATGAAATAAAGTGTGCTCCCTGTTTTTCTGTTATGAGCCTCAGTTTCCTCACCATTTCCCTCAGTTGATCTCCTCTATAATTTACTGAGGATCTTATTTGCAGCATCAAGGTTACTTCGGCTGCCTTGTTAAGGCCCTGGCCCACCACGGGCTTGACACTTTCATCTCCATATACAACTAACTCATGCCTATCAAACTTGATAATTTGATCTAAATCCAAACATCTAACATCAGTCTTGTCCACAAATTTGACGCATCCGTAACCATTTCGTCCCACTGTAAAATCTGGAACTCGGCTGCAATAACCAGGATACATGACTTCTCGAGTGGCCAATTCACTCAAGCTAGGTTCCATATAATAATCAGACAATCGCAAAGTAGGTAAGGAAGCTTCACTCTCAAACAAAACCACACCTGATGAACAGGAATACATGCCACTCGGAGAAATTTTTCTCTTTTTGTATTGCGATTGAGAAACACAAAGGTCGTCAAAAACCCCAATATCAATTTCCATGCTTAAGCTGTTATAATTGTGATTTTGTTTCTTGTAATACAACAGAATTTGTTAAAAAGTTCCTGGAACAGAAATACAACTTGAATTTTAATTTTGGGTATGCATCAAACAGATCAAAAATCACATAAAGCAACAACACTTGCACAAACAAAATGCTCATTCATACCCAACCAGGGAAACCAGCAGAAAGAGAAATAATGAATGTCCTACCACACAATTCGCTAAATTATTATTATTATTCTCGTCTGAAGAACAAGAGAGTAGTATTTCAAACAGAAACCAGAATTGGAGTATAACTCTCAAAAAAAATTATTTTCTAAATTCTTCGGCATTCCTTTCATCCTCATCTCAATGAACGTCTTAGGCTACTTGAACAGGTGGTCTAAGGCCAATTATTCAAATCAATGTGTTATCTAGCTACATTACTGGACCTAACGCTTAGCATTACTGGTATACACTTGAAGCAGAATCAATAACTTGGCCTCTAACTAAAAGTGCCTTACTTTTCAAAATTCTAATCAAATTTCCCAAAACAAAAATTACAGCTTCAAAACCCTAGTAATCAAAAGCTACTCGATGGTTGATTGAACAGCTCGAATCGGTCATACACGAATGATATGAACTTCAAACAGAAATCAGAAAGTAGGAAATACTGACCTTGGCCGACGTAATATTGATCCGCTGGTTCCGATATCCTCTCACCGACGAATGAGTGAAGACTGTAGAAGTGGAATACACCAAAAAAGACGGGGGAGGGACCCGGAAGGGTTTTGGACAAAGTGTGTTATTTGCAGAAACCCATAGTTTTATCGAGTTAAACTACTCTTTGACCCCTATATTATGGATTAACTTCTACTACATCTTTTTAAACTTCCCCCCTTTTCTTTTTGTGAGTCTTGTACCGTTTTGGAATATTCTCAAGTTCGAAGGTACCGGTAACGAGAAGTATTTCGATCCGCTTTCATNGAAAAAGAAAATAATAGATCATAAAAACATCTATGAATTTTCAAGGAGACAGAGATATCTTATTTAAGCTGTAAACATGCATGTGTTTATGTATTCTTAACCTAAGAAAAAAAAATAAATATTAACACCTTGCATCAACTGGTAATCTGCCACCCCAAATTGCTAAGGATTCATTTAAACGACCAATGAAGTCTCTGCAACCATCATTTTTGTTTTCAAGGGTATCCTGCCAGAGGTAAGATAGGATTATCAGCCTTCACTAGAAAATACTAATGAATAGCAAGTTCCTAGCAGGACAAATTCAGTTCAGTTAAGAACTACACTTTGAATTCCACCTGTTGTTTGCCAAGGATATCATAAAAATTTATTCTTGGATGCCAAGAGAAATAACATCTCGTAGTTCAAGCACATTATGATTTACAAATGCTCAAAATCAACCTCACAAATTCTACTCCATGAAAACTTTAGGCTTTAAAAAAATTTCCCTGCTAATCAATGTTCACTTGATTGATCAAGAACTGCTCAGAAAACTGGAGCCAGCAATGTCGATCTGAAGACAAAAATCCTATTTCCTTTCTACAGGCTCTTGTTTACGACTATTAATGAGTATGTTTACCCATTCCCTTTCAGCTGATGTTAATGCTGCTACACAAAGTTTGGAGGGGTACAAAATGAAACAGCAGCCGATCCAATATGGATGTGAATAAACCAAAATTGAGAAGTTATTGGTTGATTGCGCCTAGAAGTATGCATGCATTATATTTTTATTCAGTCTCCAGCTCCAGTCAGGTACATGCTCAATTACAGCACTTTGTAACAATAACCTCAACAAAGCTTCTCTGAGACCAATTTTATTTTACTGCTACTGTAAATGAAAAGTGCCAGCTAGCAAAATAGCCCACTATTTATGACTACAACTACGACATATTTAGAAGGATTTTCGTACCAGCTCACTCATTGTATTGTTATCTTCCTGCAAGGAACTTCTTAATAGATAAAAAGAAATATAAATGCCAGCTCCCAAATCCCAGTCTTCAATTTCTGACTTGTGGTCTTCCATGGAAGTTGCAAGCCTCCATATCTCGGAGTGTTTGGCTGCATGACGAGGAGGTTGATAAAATCAGTATTGTCCTAACCCGTTTCCAATAAATATACGATTTAAGGTAAACTAACTGCTAATCCAGAATACATTACAGCAATCACACAGTTTTTAACTTGCAGATGTCTATATAGGCCCACAAAATTTTAGGCATTAGTTTCATATTGTGAGATTTATAGAATAACAAATAGGTATCAGTGCAGTCCCAAGACCAGCACAACAAGAAGGCAATGGAAATATATGTGGCACAAAAAATATATGGTAGCTTTTACCTGACAAAAACAACGAATGAGCAACTGAAATAATGAAAATTGAATGTGCTTTTTGCCAATTTGCACATTCAATAAAGTGTTCAAGAGCCTTCAACATATTGCCATGGTAATTAAAATATACTGCCTGCAATTACACAGAACACAATGTCCTCAGTCAATAAAAAGATGTTTAATTAAAAAAGGAAAGAGCTCTACTTTAGTATCAATGACGGTAATAATTGGAAGCAGACAACAGTTGATCAAGATGTCCAGAAAAAGCCCCAGTTTACGGTGACACACAGTTCCAAATGGAACTAATTAAGAAGTGACCAAAAGGTTGGTGCAGTGAATGTCAACAGCCCCCAGCTTTGCAAATCAAATTAACATGAACAAGCAAAGATACACCAAACGGCGGCAAAACGGAAGGATTGATCCATGTAGAATTATGATGAGAGAAAAACCGACTCACCAGAGCCTCATGCAGCCATTCTGAAGGAATGCCCAAGTCTCCTATAAATTTACGCTGCAGTTCTTGAGCACTCCAAACTTCACAGTATTGAAACAAGATTTCCCTGATAAGATTAGTGTGCAGATAAGGATAATCGTCACGGTGGGGCATGTGAAGCACCACATAGATGGCCCAATGGCATTGCCCTAGACAAAGCAACTGCGAAATATACCCCAAGTCAAGAACATGAAGATCATTAGAGCTGAAAGCACCAACTGCTTCCAACACTGCACGCTGATGCCAAATCATATGGTAGTCAAGTGCATCAGGCGTTGAGGAAAGTGTACTGAACATGGTCTTCAAAGCACCAAATTTGTTTCCTTCACTGGCATGAAGAAGCATAAGATAATATGCAAGGTCAAAGCGTTCATCTGCATTCCAATTTACAGCCTCTTCTACCGGTCCTTCGTCAATGTAAACAGCAACTGGATATGGAGCCCTTCCATGATCAAGAAGCTGCTGATAAGTGCGAAAAATAATCGTCAATGAAGTGTCAGGTGGCAGCTGATACCACATCAACAATCCTAAGAACCTTTTCCAGTCGACATTTATGTCATGCAAAGCACCACGAATGTTACCAGCAAGCAACTCCAAAATTCTTATCCTGTCGTCCTCAATAAAATTGAAGTCCATCCCATTGATTCTCCAAAGATCAAGCTGCCGAGCAACATCAGAACGATTCACTGGGGATCCACCAGCCTGGCTCAATAGACAAGCCAGTCTCACATCTCCTCTAGAAGCAGCCAGCTCCACAGCTGCATCCAGCTGTCGTCCTGTTAGGTATAAGAATATGTGTTTTAAATCACTTGATTCATTCAATGAGCTAACTTCATGTTGTACCCGGTGACAAACACACTCTTGTAACCAATAACTGAACTCTGCTCTCCGAATTAACGGAAGTGCTTCCTGGTCAACGTCCGGAGCACTTTCCCTCATATCTGGCATCATGTCTTCCTCATTGTCAGCTTCCACTGACTTTAATTGTCCACTAATTTCCCTTACGGAGAACAGAACTTTTAGTAGTTCCCAGACCATTACTTGGTGCATCAATATGATACGAGAAGAAGAGGATAACCCAGGAACCTCCAGTTGCCTCTCAACAATTCTTATATAGCTCCGACATATCTCTGAAAGCATTACACGATCACAAACAAGGGTTTGCAGCTTTAGTTTGAAAGAACCCACTCCAACTTCTTTTGTTTCATGATTTATTTCCTTGTGAAGATTTAAAGGGGAATCAAAACAAAATTCTGTAAGTTCCTCTCTGACTTTGTTATTTTCATCTCTGACCACTTTGTCAATTGCAACCTTTTCTAAAGTGATCACGGAAGATAACACCCTCTGAGAGTCATTGCTACCAACAGGTGCACCAGTGTGAACAAGGACACCATTAGGACCCCACCCTACACGGAAGGACCTACCCATGAATAACGCTGCATCAACTATGTTGCAGGAATGGCTCCCAGTTACTGGTGTTTCCTGCTTGAGGTCCAGCTTAAAACCTTCTACTTTTCTCATCTTTGAAGGCAAGCCCCTACTTTGTTGGGTCATCAAAATGGATCCAGGAGAGCTTGAGCCAAAATTACCAGGGTTGTACTCGAGCAAAGCTAATGGGGTCTTTCGAGTCACTGGTGGACTAATTCTATGAACTGTCATCCGGGAGATATGTTGCAGTGGGGATCTTGACGATTCTTTTCTATAAGGTAGTCTCTGTTGTGAAAGCATGCCATTGAAGTTCTCAGCCTCCTCTTCATCTGCAGGAAACATCAACATTCTCATTTCATTCATCTTGACAGGATCAAGCCCAAGATGAGCAGGAAGAGAATGAGAAAGCAGAATTGGATCCACTATGGCATTTTCTTCATCAATCTCGGAAACATTACTGCCATTCATCTCCACAGTGTTTTGAACTTCTGGAGCCACATCATCCATTGCAATATCTTCTTCATCATCTTCGCTCAAACCAAATCTGCTAAAATGGTGAACTAAGAATTTCCATTCACCATTTGATGGGTCAAATGAAATAAAGTGTGCTCCCTGTTTTTCTGTTATGAGCCTCAGTTTCCTCACCATTTCCCTCAGTTGATCTCCTCTATAATTTACTGAGGATCTTATTTGCAGCATCAAGGTTACTTCGGCTGCCTTGTTAAGGCCCTGGCCCACCACGGGCTTGACACTTTCATCTCCATATACAACTAACTCATGCCTATCAAACTTGATAATTTGATCTAAATCCAAACATCTAACATCAGTCTTGTCCACAAATTTGACGCATCCGTAACCATTTCGTCCCACTGTAAAATCTGGAACTCGGCTGCAATAACCAGGATACATGACTTCTCGAGTGGCCAATTCACTCAAGCTAGGTTCCATATAATAATCAGACAATCGCAAAGTAGGTAAGGAAGCTTCACTCTCAAACAAAACCACACCTGATGAACAGGAATACATGCCACTCGGAGAAATTTTTCTCTTTTTGTATTGCGATTGAGAAACACAAAGGTCGTCAAAAACCCCAATATCAATTTCCATGCTTAAGCTGTTATAATTGTGATTTTGTTTCTTGTAATACAACAGAATTTGTTAAAAAGTTCCTGGAACAGAAATACAACTTGAATTTTAATTTTGGGTATGCATCAAACAGATCAAAAATCACATAAAGCAACAACACTTGCACAAACAAAATGCTCATTCATACCCAACCAGGGAAACCAGCAGAAAGAGAAATAATGAATGTCCTACCACACAATTCGCTAAATTATTATTATTATTCTCGTCTGAAGAACAAGAGAGTAGTATTTCAAACAGAAACCAGAATTGGAGTATAACTCTCAAAAAAAATTATTTTCTAAATTCTTCGGCATTCCTTTCATCCTCATCTCAATGAACGTCTTAGGCTACTTGAACAGGTGGTCTAAGGCCAATTATTCAAATCAATGTGTTATCTAGCTACATTACTGGACCTAACGCTTAGCATTACTGGTATACACTTGAAGCAGAATCAATAACTTGGCCTCTAACTAAAAGTGCCTTACTTTTCAAAATTCTAATCAAATTTCCCAAAACAAAAATTACAGCTTCAAAACCCTAGTAATCAAAAGCTACTCGCTGGTTGATTGAACAGCTCGAATCGGTCATACACGAATGATATGAACTTCAAACAGAAATCAGAAAGTAGGAAATACTGACCTTGGCCGACGTAATATTGATCCGCTGGTTCCGATATCCTCTCACCGACGAATGAGTGAAGACTGTAGAAGTGGAATACACCAAAAAAGACGGGGGAGGGACCCGGAAGGGTTTTGGACAAAGTGTGTTATTTGCAGAAACCCATAGTTTTATCGAGTTAAACTACTCTTTGACCCCTATATTATGGATTAACTTCTACTACATCTTTTTAAACTTCCCCCCTTTTCTTTTTGTGAGTCTTGTACCGTTTTGGAATATTCTCAAGTTCGAAGGTACCGGTAACGAGAAGTATTTCGATCCGCTTTCATGTTTTTTTGATCGATAGGTATTAGTTATTATCAATAGGTACTAGTTATTGTCTGTCTAAAAACACATAATAATAAAAAAAAATATATTCATTCCATTACATACCATTTTATCCTTAACATCGTTCATTTCATTATCCTATTTGTGTAACACTTTTGCACAATGTTTTGTNTTTCATGTTTTTTTGATCGATAGGTATTAGTTATTATCAATAGGTACTAGTTATTGTCTGTCTAAAAACACAGAATAATAAAAAAAAATATATTCATTCCATTACATACCATTTTATCCTTAACATCGTTCATTTCATTATCCTATTTGTGTAACACTTTTGCACAATGTTTTGTATAATACATGATATAACAATTTATACCCAAAAAATCCCAAATAATGTAAAAAATTCATATAAAAAATAAAGAATCTGATGTTATGAATTGGNGTTCATTTCATTATCCTATTTGTGTAACACTTTTGCACAATGTTTTGTATAATACATGATATAACAATTTATACCCAAATAATGTAAAAAATTCATATAAAAAATAAAGAATCTGATGTTATGAATTGGTGATACCGTAAAAAAAAAATTAGTGACATTATATGCTTAAACATAATACAAGAAAAAATTTTAAAATAATTTTTTAAAAAATTAAAAAAAAAACCGATAATACCGTACGCTTAAACATAATATAAGGAAAAAAATTCAAAATAATTTTTAAAAATAAAAAAAAATGATAACACCGTACGCTTAAACATAATAATACAAGAAAAAAATTCAAAATAATTTTTTTTAAAAAAAAACTAAAAAAAAATTTGTGATACCGTAAACTTAAACATAGTACAAAGAAAAAATTTAAAATAAATTTTTTATATGTGAACTCTTAAAGAGAATGACATTTGTCTCATTTTACTTTCTTATACCGTCATTTCATTTGTACCAGAAAGATAATATCATTGGATAGGTGGTAGTCATTAATATCATATACCATCATTTACGATACTCTTCAAACCAAAAAATAATACCTGATGTAAAATGTCAAATAAACAAAGAATAAGACAGGTTTCACGTATTATTTTCTTCTATCCCACCCTATACTACCATCTAATCCTTAAAACAAACAAGCGGGGATATGTGTTTGATGGATTATGATGGGTATAAAGAGAAAGGCTCGAATATCCCAATAAAAATCATATTTGGTTAAACTTGTTAAGCTCTAAATTACACTCCCAATTCGTAGTTGGCCTGGAGGATTAAACCCATAAGCATGGGTGTCAGTAAATCCATAGGAGAAAATGTGTAGTTAAACAAATATAGGTATACATTGGATTGACTTGTAGGCATTTTAGTCAATTATATGAGAAATTTTTAGTTATAATTGTGATTAGTCCATAGGTCTCATGCATGTGAATTGTACTCACCAAATAAAGGATTGAAGATGATTTGTGTGTAAATCCCATACGCCAAAAGAGGGTTGGGTTTGAAAGAATTTGATAAAACCAATACAATCCCCCTACACCAAAACTATTCAAACATGGCTTTAGAGAATTACATGTTTCCCAATAAACTTTCTTCAATTCTCATAATTAGGTTTATGAGCAATACTACATGGACTTAAAATATTAATTTGATTTGTTGACTTGATTAATCATTATCATTGATTTAACTGTAGATCATTTTATTTTATTAGGACTTACTACCTATTCAATGGTTATAATTAATTAATTCAATATTTAAAGTCCAAATAATATTTTTCTTAAGTTATCTCTAACCTTTGACTTAAACTTTTACTTAAATTTGATTTAAAAATTTTAATTTTATACAAAAACTCAATTTTAAAGGAAGACATGTTCAAATTTAAATGATAATAAAATATAATCATTGAATCTTTAAAGGAATGTAAATTTGACTATTGAAAATTTAATTAAAGATTCGAATCTCCCTTTATTTGAGTAAAAAATTAATTCTTCATTCATTTGGGATAAATTTGAGTAAATGACTATAACTTATTTATATTCAAATTTAAATTTGAGTAAATGTTATAGATGTCCTAAAATCGGCTATTATGGATTTAGTTAAAATCCAATTTTCTTCAATTGGGTCAACTATGAATATTGGGAAAAATTAAATAAGAGTTTATTGATTCGGATCCAAATATAATTATAATGTTGCAAAAACTTTTGCACTTCAGAGTTCTTCTAGTCATGAACTCGAATCAATCTATTNAACAAACTTTTGCATAGATCTTGGGCAGTTTATTTAGCAAACCCTTCCCTTTATATTGCTTTGCATATTTGTTTGCTCAATTTTGGTGGTAGGTGAAGTGTTATGATCATGGTGTCGATTATCATTTCAACCACGCCCACGTTTATTACCATGACCATGGTATGATGTGTCATTCGCTTCAGGAAATGTTGTAGAACCAGTCGATCGAGATTTATGATTTTTTATCAAAAGTTTGTTATTTTGTTCACCCACAAGAAGACATGATATCAGGTCAGGGAATTCAATGAACATGCACTCTCTATATTGCCATTGTAGGAGCATATTAGAGATGTGAAAAGTAGAAAATATTTTTTGTAACATGTCTTTATCAGTAATTGTTTCTCCACATAGTGTCAATTATGAGCTAGTTTTGAATAGTGTCGAATTATAACCACTCACTTTTTTTATAAAAAAAAATCTTGCAACTCTAGGTGCATCCACTCATGTCAAGCATTTGGAAGTATTAAGGTCTTTTGGTGGTCATATCATTCCTTTAATTTTGTGTATTTCTCAATGCAGTGAGAACCTCATTTTATAGGTCTCAAATCATAATAGTCATCAAATATAATATTAAATCTAGATAGAGTTATAGACTCAAATACTAACACTAATTAAATTGGTAGACTAGAGTTCATCCATATCTATATACAAAATATTTACAACAAAAGTATTGCACTAATTTTTTTGGGAAAAAATGTATTCAAACTTGACATTTGTCACTAACTCAGATAGATCCCCTCAAGTATAAAAAATAACACCATACTTCCTCGAGGTTTGATCTCTTATAACACATTGCCCCTGCCGTTAAGAGTCGTTTGAAAAATCTTCAAACCTAATTGACATCAACACATTTTTTCACTAAATTCGCAAACTACCATGCAATCCAACTTTGTAAATGATAGACTATAACAAAAACCCAATAATTTATTTTAACCCCTATTGCTAACAAAATCAATAGCTAAGTTAAGGTAGTGTTTGATAAAACTGAAGTCTAAGGTAGTGTTTGGTAACTGAAAGTTTTCATTTTTTTTTTTGTTATTTAATTTTTTGGGGAAAAAAATGAAATATGTTTGGTGAATGTTTTTAATTTTTTTTTACTGCTATGTTTTAAAAACAATGACATAATTTGGAAACATCCAAAATGATGTTTTTGAAAGCATCCAAAAAACAAAACAAAGTGGAAGTTTCCTCACCCAATTAATGAGGTCTCGGCTTCAAACCCTCTTTACAACAACACATTCATATTTTTTCCTTACACTATAAAAGGGCATGAACAGCTGACTCCTCCATCATTTCTACTCGCTGGTCATCGCAAATAATCGCTAGGTCGTCGTCTGTACTCACTGGTTTGTTGCCTCTGCTCACTGGTCGTCGCCTCCATTGTGTTTCTGATGAAGTTGTAATCTCTCTAATGAAGCTTTAAGTTATATCTATGCTCGTATCTCCACTTCGATTTTTTTTTTTAGATCTATGATTTTTGTTTCAGAGTTAGGGTTTATTTTTGTAGATCCCTATTTTACTTTTGTAGATCTATACTCTTTTATTTCAGATCTATGTTATATCATTGTTTATTTTAACATCTATCACTCTCTATGTATGCATATGTCTATGTGTGCGCGTCTGGTGGTTGGTGTGCAACTGTGTGTGTGTGTGCATCTGGTTTGTTTGCCGGGGGGGGGGGGGGGTGGCCCACCTTTT